CCAATGAGGTTCAGGCGGTGTCGTTTTCTTTAGAATTAGATTACTTTCTACTCTAATTAATCTACGAAGGGAGGAAACAGAGACTATTTACTCAGTTTATACTATAAGTTCCCCCGCAACGGCATTCTACGAACCAAAGGTGCTCAAAAGCCCTAAATGAATATTTTCACAACTTTATCTTTTGTTATATGTTATTTTCTGTTCTTAATCGTCTTCAGTCATTATTCCGGTTGACAATTGCATTGACTTGACTATAACAGTAATACAAGAAATTGGAAAGTCAATTGAAAGATATCCAAATCATGAATAACTTTATTTTCTTAGGTTATGCAATGGTATGAAAAAGCCCAGGTCTATGTGATGCGAATTTTCGCACTTTCAGGCAAATCTAATATTTGTAGACATAGAAAAAAGTTTGATATTCCTTTCACAAATTGATGCGTGAATTCATAGCATACTTTCATGAGTAATCGAAGAAATGTGGTGCGCGCATGCTTAAACTTTTTGCATAAATTCATGCAACATTTAATCTCGGTGTATGGTAATTCTTTATAACTTGTAACTTCTAAAGTTTGAGAAGGTCATGAAAGTAGTGGAAAGACTGATATGTTGGGCTTCGAGGTTTTCATTGGTTGAACCAAAAATAAAACTCGTTTCTTACATATAAAAAATACATTGTTAATATATACATTAAAGTTTGTTTGCGTGGAAACGAGAAAGGTATCTCGATTAAAAATGTCTTTGGGTCACAGAATCTAAAAAGAACTAAAAAACAAACGGCCACTGCAATTCTTCCCAGATTCGCACTTAAATTATGTCCGTACCAGTTTTAAAACTATCCTGTCTTTTCATCGAATTTTTTTGTTGCGATAGGTACAAACCGATTTTGTGAACACCTGTAAACATTTTAAAGTTCCGTAGACTTAGTAAAGATTCAAAAGAGTAAAAATTTCACCTTTAAAGTTTCGGTTTTAAAACAAGCCATATACAAATCCCGATTTTTAAGGTTTCGTTTTTTTGTCAAATAAAATAAAGGAGATTCCAAAAAACTCTTATTTGACGTTGAGGCGGTATACAATTGTCCTAAAGATTCAGTATAAATTACAAATATGACACAAATAGATAATCCAATTTAAAATTTATTTAAAAATCTGTATCAGTTTTTATGTTAACAAGTCTAAAATTGCAAACGATAACGACAAAAAGAATGTAGTGACAGCTAAACAAAAAATTAAGATACATCGTTTCCTTTTCTGTATCTACGAGCTACGTTGTTAGTGCAGTTCGAACTTGTTAAAATATCAGAATTACTTATCAAAATACTGGCATGTAAGGAATACCTTTAAAGAACAGACCAACACTATGTGAAATTCATCGAGCTGATTTTTCATATTTCTCTGTGGAAAGATAATAAGCTAAAAGGCAGCCAAGCCCGATGTTGCAACTCATAGTTTTGGCTGCCAAAAATTTAAAAGTACTTCGGAATATAAATCAAAGCTATCGTGAGGGCTTCCTTGCATTTCCTCTGCGATGGTAGCCCTAGCTTCCTCACTTGGTGCTCACTCACATGTCTGGCAGAGGACAAGAGCTGACTCAGTGGCAGCCATTTTTCACTTGGCTCGTGTCGGCACACTCAATTACCACCTAATGTCCTTACCCGAGCACAATTTACGCAAACATTGGGATGCGGATTGGCAGAGAAAGTGGCTGCAAGATGGGAAAATGGGACCCGAATTCCAAATGCCCACGCTCCGCTGCCAACCGAATGCAACATGAATTCGCATGCCGCAATTTCAGCTGCTGATTTCAACCCTACAAAAACAGAAAAATAATATTTTTTGTGCTTTTTGTACGCTGTGCGGGTCAGTTGAAATGAGATTCCTTTATTCGGATATGGTCTTTGGCTGAACAAAACATTACATAATTCTCTGGGGTATTTTTGTGCTTATAATTGAAAATGCAGTCTTAGAAATTCGATTCAGACCGACAACTGTAAAAAACCTATTTGCACAATAAAATATCTTTAATTCGTTGTTCTCTTATTTTATTTTAAATAATCGAATAAACACGATTGTCTATAGTAAGTCTTTAAAAATTTGATCTACACTCGAATGCATTTGTATCATTTGTAGCATCATTTTTTAAATTTTTTTTATAAGTAAATTTATATTTTTTAGAAAATTACATATTACATTGGGATTCAGTAGAATAGCATTGAATATGTGTGATAAAACGCCACTTTTTCGGCTCATCAAAAAATTAAAAATTTTGTTGAGAATTAACCGGAAAAAGATACTTTTCACTACTATTCCCCTTTAAGCGCTCAGTAAATAAAAATACAAAGAAACAAAAACAAAATATATTTTTTACCATCTTTATATGGTTATGAAATAATTATTTTTATAAAATAAAAAAAGGAAAACCATTTAACAGAAGTCATCAAGCTTAGGTTTGTTAAGAATAAAAAGTCAACTGAATTGAAATATTTTCCGGAAGTGGAGTGCCAAGGAATAATTTTAAACTGTTAGCTCAAGCACGAGTACTTGGTGAGTATAAATAAAAAGCCCTGGGGAAATAAAACATATCGAATGGGGAGCCTTTATTGCACTTGCTGCTGGTTTTTAATTAAATCAGTATCAGCCAAATCAATTTAGACGTCAAAGCCCCGGCGAAAGCCAGTTTTCATTTGTCTCAGGCTTATGGCTCCTTAGGAGCGCCAAGTACCCAGTCAAACTGAAAGCCGCTTGGCTCATTAAAGCGCCAAACAATTTCCTCACTTCCGTTCCGGAAGTCGTCAGCAGCGCGACAATCCCTTCGCACTCACATTACCTCTCCGCTTTCGTTTTCATGAAAAGCGTTTTAAATGCATTTGGGGAAGCCAAATAAAAATCAAAGTACCAAGCAACAAACGGAGAATATTGCTAAGGAATTTACTATGCAATTCCACTTAACTATTTGAAGCAACCACTTGTTTGTTCATGCTAAGTTCTTTTAGATTTCAGTAAGAATTTTAAAAATACCAAGAAGTATATAGCCGTTACAGTATGCCTTTCTAGTTTCTATGGTTTTATGGTTGGGTTAGTATGCAGATTCTGGTGATGCCCACGAAGTTTTGATAGCAGGGAAATGTGTTTGCATACACATGTGTTTTTTTTTGGTATACTATATGTATGATATATTTATGACAGTCGACTGTAGCGTGTTTCCTTTTTCTTTCTTTATTGCTTACATTTTTGGTAAGCAACTGACCAAAAATGGAATTTTATATCATAAACATAGAAAAGTGTGGTTTTGGCAAACAAAAATGTAAACGGAAGAGTACGTAATTTAAAAAGATATTACTGAAAGTGTATCAAAAAAATCTTAATCCGCGTAATGTTTTAACTCAAAACTTTTTCTATTCATTTTGTATATCTTCACTGATTGATTGATTGATTCACTGATCACTCCTATGATAACTATATAAAGTCGTTCGATTTTCTTAAAAATAAATTTGATGTTCGAGATTCGTTATAAAACGGGTTATTCAAAAAATAGTGCTTGTTTCATAGAAAATTCGACCGACTATAAACTGCTTGCAAAACCTATACAGCTTTAGGTAAAGGCTTTAGATCGGTTCAAGAATATGTGTACTTTAGGGGCCTGAGATGTATCCTTTAAACTTCTGACTGAAATTAGAATTCCCTCTGCAAGGGTATAAAAATAACGAAGTTATGTGGTCTTTACATATATACATATGTGCCGTGTGTCTGGCAGACACTGTTTTTCGATACGATCTAGGATTAGAAAAACACTCTAGGGAAAACTCTTTCGTCAAGTATTTATTACTAGGCATTTATACGGATAGAAAAGCGGAGTCGTCTACAAGACTTGTGGGTGTAGAAGTGGACGTGGCAAACTTTTGAAAGACACACGCAGTTATCAGTAGAATCAAAGTCACTAAATGCAAAATAAAATATGGTGGTAGAGTTATAAAGTGTAATTTCTCAGAAGAGGCTTGTTAGAATATGTCGCGTTATTCCAGTTCACGTTCATCCCGAAATTCCTGATTTCCTCACAAGAAATGCCTGTGAAACTGGATTACAACCTGAACTGCATAATATCACAAAGTACCACAGAGGTTAGTTCAGATTTGGGACAACAGTGAATAGTTTAGGTGGACATTTTATATAGTTGACACATCTTGCTGCACGGGGACTTTACGATTCAGCAGCGTTAATTACTCGACTGTCATTATGTTTACGTATGCTTGATGTTGTGTGTTTAAACGCGAGTGTTTATTAATTAGAGCACGTACACAAGCCCAGAGAGCAATAATCAAAGCTACAAACAGCGGAGGAGGTGGAGAGTATTATGATATTGCCAACTGCACTCGCGTAATTAGCAACAAAGCGTAGTGCATATTAAAAACAGCAGCCAGCAGCCAGCAGAGTGATGTGGAAATCGGAAGTGGGGAACCCAGTGTTTGCATGCGTGGCAAATGGAAAATCATAATTTCTTTTTTAGGCGAGTGCTCGTGTCCGCATTGGCACACAAATGTTTTAATTATGCTCATTATTTAAGGCGGCTTAATTAAAAAGTCCACTCGAATCGGCGTAGGCAGTAGAAATAGCCGTGAATTGCGTAGGCGGCACGAACAGAATAAAACGTCTTCCTTTCAGATCCAAGTTTAATTGCCGAAAGACACAAGAGACGTGACTCTGTGGTTAATGAACCAGCGCAGTCCTCGATGCCAGTAAGTCGATTAAAGTCGGGAAAGGAAGTTAACTTTGGCATACTGACCGTCGTTTTTAATTTCTCTTTATATAAAGTGGGGTTGGTTGGGAGCTATTTGACATATGGCATATGTCTTCGGGTAACCTTACAACAGCTATTTGGCGGAAATTGAGTGATACCGTTTGTGTTTGTAAATAATGTTCACGATGGTCGCGAGATAATCTTGAATAGGTTGTTCTGTTCCAACGGACTAATTCCCCGCTTTCTCTGCTTTCTCCTTGCAGCTGCACACATTGCTTGTACTCCGGGGAGTCGACGTCGTACGCACGTAATGATGATGACGACGACATGGAGGTCCTGGCGACAGGAATCGGAAGTAGAGCATCGTAAACAACGAAGGCAAACTGTCGGCGCAAACATATCAGCGGCTTACGACGATAACAGTGATAATGACGATGGCCACCACGGGCTGGCGCATAATCAAAACAATGTCGGCCAAAACAGCTCTGCGAGTTTTAGCACTTCCGCCGTCGGACAGCCGGAGCCGCAACTCCCGCCCGCCGGACCCCACCTCTCCGGCTGGGCAGTGCTGCTCCTCCTCCTTGCGGCTTCCGCCCCTTTGTCCTCCGCCAACTTCTCCACCAGCACCACCACCACCATCACCACCATCACCACATCTACCAGCAATCTGTCCGTCAACGGCAGCGGCACAGATTACGTCCTGCTCCCCGGCGGGCCCACCACCCCGTCGGTTCCTGCGCAGGCCACCGGGAATGCGGGGGTCGGGGGTGGGGGGAGTACGAGGACGAGGAGGATGCGGAGAAGGCCAGCGAGTACATCTTCGATCGCACCGATGTGCGCATAATATTCATCACCCTTTACACGCTGGTGTTCTGCTGCTGTTTCTTTGGTGAGCCCAACAAACTTCATTCCAAAACGTCAGGGGTTTGTGGTGGGAATGTAGGTCTACAGGGCCTTTAATCCAGGCAAGTTGCTTACTAAATCAGGCCTGGCTAGAAATTAATGTTTGATTACACCGAAACAGCAGCATTTTTGCTCACCGGGGAGTGTGAATTTACTGCTGACTTGCCAATTACTCAACGCCGAGCTGTTTGGAATGTGCAGTTCTTTTTGTTCAGTCTCTCGGGCAACGTTTAGCAATTTCGGGGATTTTGTGTATCTTTTTAGCCATCGAGGTTTGGGGGAAGGGTTTCTGCTTAGATAACTCATAATTCAGGCGCCTCCTGATGTGTAACAGCCTCATTTTCGTTCGCTCCAACAACTTAGTACCCTTAATGACTACCGAAGTTCGAGATTATTATTAGATTTTAGATCTTGGCTAAAGTCTCGGAATAATCGAATATCCTGGCAAAGACTGCCTGAAAGTAGTTTACAGTTGTTTTTGTGCCTTTATTTCTGCGAAGAGATAATATTTCTGAAGAGCTATTATCCTGTTTATCCTAAAAGAATTGAAACGTTGAATAGTTTGGTATTCGCTTCGTCCGCTGAGGAAAAATCCCTTAGTCTATACCTTCTTTGTTTATAAGACACTTTGCATGAGAAAATGTCTTGGATAAGCATAAGTAGATTTACTCGAGTATTGTGTTAAAGTTGTCGGACTTGATGAATAATGTGTCCAGCTCGACTTCCTTTGATGTATTCAAAATTAGGCTATGCAGGTCATATTATACATAGTTTTTACTACTACATAATTTTTTAATTTGTGCAAGTGAATAATATAGGATTATTATATAGGATAAAAAAGTTTTTTAAGCTCTTACCAAAGTATACACTCAGGACCTAACAAATATTAAGATTAAGTACAAGTTAATCGCTTTCCTTATAAGTTCAATTCTAGCTAGGAACTAGAATGAGTTGGTAATTGAATTAGTTATAAAACTAATGGTCAGTTCACCCTACAAGTAATACAGCTTAGAAAAAAGTTTTCAGTGCAGACAAAGGGTCTTCATTTTTTTTTATTTTACCAGTTCTTTGTGTGTAATATATAAAATAAAACTGGCCAGCAATAAAGTCAAGTCTGTATTTTGCAACTCAAGGATTTACCACACCATCGCGCTTTTAAATAACAGCCATTAATATAAACCACTCATTAAGCCATTTGTTATTTGTTTCTGCAATGCTTAATTGCAGACACACATAAATATAGGATGGCCTGAACTTCGCGTGTTATCTGGCAAGGACGGTTAGAATCAATTATGTCGTTCGATTGGGTGCTTCGGGGGTTGACCAATCTCGGCCATCCTGGCTGTAGGCTTTATGACCCGCAGTGACAACAGGATCCACATAAAAGAGGGGAACATGTGTACTCGCCATTCCAAATGGCGACAAATGGCCGTCCATTAGACGCAGACATGGGGCGTGGAGGGGCGTCGGCAGACAATTGCAATATGGAAGCAACTTATTCGGACCCACAGGCCACCGGAATGTGGAAGTGGAAGTTTGGGGGAGGGGCGCCCAGCTTCCGCACTCTGCCTCTAAATTTACATGGTGCAGTCACGTTTAAAGCTCCTGTTTGTCTGCTGTTGGGATATTTGTTTCTTGCTGTCACTCGAACATGCTACTTTATTGCCACTTTCAAAGCTTTGAGTAAGCGGCAATGGTTCTTTTTGTGTCCTTCACTAATTGCTGTGGCCTTGGGAATCGTTTAAATACAGTTCTGCGGGCGTTCAATATGTATATATGTATATTGAGAGGGCTTTCTGCATATTACGTCATCTCGCTTTTCAATTTATGAATTCGCATACCGTCAAAAACTAAACGCCGCCAGCATTTCATTGCAATTTCTGGTAAAGTTGGACAGTTGGAATATGAAAATGACAGAAATAATTTTTTAAATGTTGTTTTTATAGATTCAAAATATGGAGTTAGCTTTAACTAATTTAGCTGCTCTGCACAAATAAGTTGAAAAATTGAAGTTCTAAAACAAGGTAGAAACATTTTATAAATTAAACCACCTTCAACTAGTTTTTGCTGTTTTAAATTATTAAATTGAGCTTTTAAATATATATATATATATACATATATATATATATATAGGTATATTAATATATATAAATATATTGTAACTCAGACATTGTTAATAAGAAATTAAAACGAAATTTTAGAGCTGATTAACGTAATAGATTTATTTTGAAAAAAAAAGTTGCACATCAAAAGTAACGAACTCTAGGGCTATATATAAGTCGAGTATTTGGAAAATGTATGTACAGAAGACTTTGACTTAAGTTGTATCTACTGTATGCAAATAAACTATGGAATGGCAGCGTACAGCGTATATTAGAAATATTTGGGCGCAGAAAAATCTAACTTGTTAAGAACAAGCAAATTACTGTAAAACCGTTAGGTTCTTTATACAAACAAAAAAATAATATTGAAAAAATTTTAACAGGTTTTCAACACCAAGGGATCAAGCTAAATTCTGACTTTCATTTACAATTTCGACACATAATTAACTAAAGTCTTGGTATGCAAAGTTTCTTTTTGAGCTTAAATACTAGCAGACTTTTTATATGTTCTATATATACTAATTGCTTTTTAAAACAACCGCCTGCGGTTGCCACTAGAAATTCAAGTGAAATAATGTTTTCTTTTAACTATTGCTTTTTTTGTTCAAGGTAATTAAATTTCTGGTATAAACACATGTTTTTTTCAGAAAGTCCCAGATTTGTTTTTGATTTGAGTGAATCAAAAAGGTATTGCTGAAACTTAAGATGGTGTCCACTTAAAAGTACTTTAAAGATTAACTGACTGACTTAATAAAACAATACAAATTAATAAAACAAACGAAAGACTTCTTGCTTTCTTATGTATGGCTGTTACACACATATGTATTTGTAAGTTAAGAGCTCTCCACTGGTACTCCCCTTACAAATCCTGATGCAGTCCGCTCTCCCAAGTATTGAATTTCAGGGCACGCCTTGGAGTGTTGCACGTTTTTGGTATTTTCTGGCAGCCTCCTTGCTTTTTGTTTTCCTTTTTTGTTCTCCCATTTCCTGTCACCCTGCCCGGTGTAATTAAAAAAGTTTTTCTCGACATTTGTTTGCCATGTGAGGCCCCAAAATAAAATGTTTCGTTCCGACTTATTCTATTGTGAAAAACTTCAAGTGCAATACAAATTACGGGCCGTGTTGTACCTAAAAGATTATTGTGATACATTTGAACATATTATTGTAAAATAAGATAAATGCTGTTTCCCATTTAGAAGGCTAACATTTAACCCATTTAACCAAGGACATAAAATTGCTTTGTGCTTTCTGTATTTAATCCACTAGATGGGACTTTAAAAGGAGTAAATGAATTGCCACTTACTCATGTAAAGCATTGAATTATTGCTTTAATTAACTTTCTAAAGCTTGCACAAAAGTGCATCCTAAATTAATTGGATTGGAAGAAGTCGGAAGTGTGTGTGAATAATGCGTTATAAATTTATGTTGTATGAATAATGCGTGTTAAGCCTGAAATTGTGTCCAAATTTCATTTAGTGAGGACATTTATTTTACTGCACTTTAAGCTGAAAAGCAAATAAGGTAAGCTTTAAAGTGCATTATTGACCACAATCGCCATTGACGTTAAATTAAACTGTAATGCACGTGTAACTCTTGTACCCGTGTTCTATAACTTGGGGAAAGTTTGGTGAAATCATTACTTACCATAAATTTTTCAAATGAGGCAGCCTATAAAAATAGGAATTACCAAAAATAACGCTCACATAATTCTTGAATTTGCAAGTACAAATGATATTAAGAAACAAATTCATTTATTTTCAATTGAAGGTTATAGGTTACTCTGTACACCAGTAAGAAACGTGTAGTTAAGTCAGCTAACTGTCAGTGTGAAAGTTAAGATTTCAAATACAATTATAACCAAATATGTAGTTTAAAAATATCCACACAGTTTACCCAGAAACGTTCTTTTGTCTCCGAGGGTATTCGGCTTAAAAAAATTGAAATCGGTGGCACATAGTTATATATATATATTGTTATATATAATAATGCGTGTTAAGCCTGATATATATATATATACATATATATATATTATAAGAATATTCATGAACGAGTTATCTTCGAACTCATAGAAACTATAAGAGAACTCTAATTGCGATGGAAAATGTGGATTCCTTTGGCTCGTAAGCAGCCGTGAGCCGTGAAATTCTGTGACCCCCGCTGTTTTTAAAACACATGTCTTTTGGTTGATGATTTTATTCAAGATTTGTTGATTTTCACTTGATTTAATATGGTTGATTTTAGACGGAAAACAACTAAATATATTCAAATTAGGTTGCTTCTTATTTTGTAAAAGTAATACTAATTTAAAAATTTATTGTGGGTCCAGTTAAAATCAATTTTTATTTATTAAGTTCAAGATACCTTTTGCGAACGCAAATTGTTAATTCAGTTTTATAATCTCATCCAACATTTTCAGGTAATTTACTTGTTATTTTAGTGGTCACACTGTCGCGACGACTTCGATCAATCACAAACTTTTTTCTGGCGAATTTGGCGTTTGCAGACTTCTGCGTCGGACTTTTCTGTGTGATGCAGAACCTATCCATTTATCTTATAGAAAGGTGAGAAAAAAAACTTTATTAACAATATCCTCAATAAGTTATAAAATTCAAAATATATATCATAAACCCACAATAATTCCTTTAATATAATTCTTAAGTTTGCCTATATGGAAGAATACTTTTCTGTTAATAAAGGATAAATGTTTTCTGGAGAGAAGAAAATATTGGTGTTGATAACGAATTAATGGCAAAACGTGTTCCTTTTCTAATAAAATTGAATTTAGTTTAAATATTTAAATGTGTCATGTACATCTGATCAGGACGAAACCCAAACTGTTAGTCAAAGTCTTCATTGGTTGACAAGGCGTCAGGCTTCTAGGTTCCTCGAAAAGAACGCATTACAAAAGTTTAACCTTTCAACCGTGAAACATCCGCACGACCCATTGTGAAGCCTTTTGCTTACACACGTTTTTTCCCTGAGAAAGCCCATTCCAATCCTGTTTATTTGCATCGCATTTCTTAGCTTTCTTTAAAACACGTCGCAGCAACGTGCACAAATAAAAAGCGCAATGAATGCAAGTGGGGACAACAAACACTAAAAAGTGGAGTTCGGCTTTAGGTTCAAAAAAAGCAGCCAAATACTGCAGTTTTCAAACAAAAACAGTTTGTACGAATGTCTGTTTCCACGCAAGCCAGTTTCTCAGTTTTAAAGCTATCTCACTAAAACTTTACCAAAAGTTGAGTACTTATTCCAGGTAGTATATATTTATGTCGGAACGGCAAGACCAGAGAACTGTAGCATACCTATAATAAAAGATAATTGTTATATTTGGCAAGGGTATAGAAGAACTTTTATGTTGAAATCTAGAATTTTCGAAGAATCAGAACTTATTAAAATAAAACTCAACTATAGTACTTTATATGCATTAAGTTCCCATATTTTGATTTTCTAATAAGCTTTCTGTGGTAAAACGCTTGAATTATAGGTATGAAAATTCGTTGACCATAATTTATTGAATTTATGCGCACAAGTTCATAATGACCAATTAAAAAATGCAAATCTGGCAAAGGTGGAAGATTTAACTAGAAAATTGCTTTTACCCATGCTATTAAACATAAAATTGGTATTGCTAAATACTCGTATACGCAATTTGCTATGAAAATAATAATTAAGGCAAAGGCCAGCACACAATTTTCTTTAACAGGAAATTTTTAAATTTCTTGACCTAGCTAAAATTTATTTTGGAAATTATATATAACAATATCAACTTTTGGCCGAATCGCCTACGGACTGTAAACATACTTTACGGTGGAAATACTTTCAGTAAATGAATTAAGTTGACACAAACGAAAACGATAAGTTAAGCAAATTAAAATTCTAAAAGGCCGTTTTGTGTTAAGATAGGAACCTGTCTTAATTTTGAGGTATACGACTAAAATCCTAAATAATAAATATACTTTTTGCAGAACATATTTTTATTATATTAACCAGTTTGGCGAACAGCAGCAGAAAACCAAATGTTTTCTGCCGTAAATCTTTCTTTAACTTAACGTAGCCAAGAACGCCGGCGACAAACGAAATTACGTGATTCTGCTAATAGCAAATACAATGATCCGTGCCCTCATTTACACAAATACGATTTCCAAATGTAATTTCAGCCGAAATAATAATAAAAAATAAAAAGCTTTTCGCCCCATAAAATACTAAAGACACCTTAACGTCGCATTAGTTTTGTGGGCGTGTAATAAAAGTTTATGTGACTGGCCTTAAATTTGGCTTTGACACTTCGAACCGAGGAAAGCAGCAGCTCTTTAAAGAGCGAAACTTTGCTCCATAAATAAATATTAATTCGTTAGCATGTGCGTTTTTCCTTTTAGCTGGGTCTTTGGCGAGTTCCTGTGTCGCATGTACCAGTTTGTACATTCGCTGAGCTACACGGCATCGATTTTCATTTTGGTTGTCATCTGCATGGAGCGTTACTTCGCCATCGTGCATCCCATAACCTGCAAACAGATATTAACTGCAGCTCGCCTGAGGGTAAGTTGTTAAAAAACGTATACAAAATTATTCGAAAATGTTGAAACAATGGCAATCAAATCTGTGATAACAGCCAAAAGTGGCTTTATTGGAAACTGAGTTATGCAATATTGTACGCAAACTTAAAAAACAGGAAATAAATTCAGAAAGAGATGATAGCCTCTCTGATGATTTTTATACCCTTGCAGAGCAAAAGGGTATTATAATTTCAGTCAGAAGTTTGCAACGCAGTGAAGGAGACACCTCAGACCCCATAAAGTATATATATTCTTGATCAGCATCACGAGCAGAGTCGGAATACGTCTGTCCGTCTGTCTGTTTCTCTTCAAACTAGTCTCTCAGTTTTAAAGCTATCTTGCTGAAACTTTCCCAAAAGGTGTGTAGTTATTGCACGCAGGATATAAGTCGGAACGAGCCGGATCGGCCGACTATATCGGATAGCTCCAATACGAGAGAATGAACTAAAAAGTTCTCAGGCCGTTGTTTTTGATCAGATCGACTTGAATTCTTCCAGATGGCGTTTTCTAACTACTATTGAATTTCGGATTAAATTTTATTAAAATCGGATAACTCTATCGTATAGCTGCCATAGGAGAGATCGAAAAATATATATAGAATTAATGGAAATAAATTTGATAACACCGTTGTTTTTTAACCCACGAGCATGATTTTTTGAATATCAAGTTTTTTAACAACTCTTATATTGAGAAAAAGTTTCATTCAAATCGGACAACTATATCTTATAGCTGTCATAGGAAAGATCAAAAAATCTATATAGAAATAACGGAGGTAAAATTATAACATCGTGGTTTTTCATCAGACAAGTATGATTTTTGAAATATATAGTTTTCTTACGACTCTTAAATTACGAATTAAATTTGATCAAAATCGGACAACAATATCATATAGCTCCCATATTATCTATAGTCGGAAATATGAAAAATGAATAGAAAAATCGTTATAGCTTCGATGTTGTTTAGCCTTTATGCATTTTGTTCGATATATTTGATGACTGCAAGGGTATATAAGCTTCGGCTTGCCGAAGCTAGCTTCCTTTCTTGTTTTAATTGCTATAAGTCGAAAGTATTTTTTTTCCATTTATTTTAAACTATTGAAAAGTGTTTTAAGCCATAAAATGTACACAAAGAAATTACAATTTCTTCTACTTATAAAAAAGTTTTTTTTTATATTTGTTTTAATAGGTATATAAAATAAAAGTCATAATTGTCTTAATTAAAAAAAAAAAAAAACAAGAAAATGATCTCGTAAGCCATATTTGTCATTTATTATGGTTATATACCCTTGCAGCTTAGCTAATACAATGTCAGCTATTACCCTTTCACCTTTGTATGACCTTTAGTTATGTTACATAACGTATAAGTGATATTCCTATATGTTTTAGTTTGACTTCTTGAGTATACCCTTTCGGCTATGCCGAGTCTAAAGAGTATTTATGTACTCCATTTATATATTTCGGAAAGGTCAAAAATAATTTCGCGGAGGTAGTTATACTTTCAATTTAAATAAAAGTTTCTTTAAATCGTCTGGTAGTACAGCATAGCCCATGAAATTACCAAAGGTATTTGTTTTAACATGCTAACTGGCTCGAAAGCCAGCTAGTTTATGTTTTTTAGTCATCCTTACTACTTTGACAAGGTAATTTGAATACAATTTGAAAACTAATGAAGCATATTAACGAGCTGGAGGGGGCATGCAAATTAGGCGGCAGAGCAGTTTCGAATGGCTTAATAAGCCATAAGAATAACTTTGCGGCTGCGAGAACTTTTCCCAGGGAATTAACAAACACACCCCGGTCACTCCGATTTCAGGCTGGCTTACTCGCTCTCAGACAAAGAAATACTTTTTGCTAATGACAATTGTCCTAATTAAACTACAAGAGACATAAAGACAACGAAATGGGACATCCATTAACATGCAAATTTGTGTGCTTATTCGCAATTTAACAAATTGTTTGCGTGTTTGGCAGTCGAGCAGACAAAACAAATCGTCAATGCGTGTTTCTTGCAGATGGTCATTGTCACCGTTTGGATTACATCGGCTGTTTACTCGACGCCCAAGTTTGTTTTTAGCAAGACCATTAAAAATATTCACACCCAGGACGGCCAGGAGGAGGAGATTTGTGTGCTGGACCGCGAGATGTTCAACTCCAAGTTGCTGGACATGATCAACTTCATTCTGCTCTATGTGATGCCGCTACTGGTAATGACGGTAAGTTGCCGTACTTTTTTCTTTAGTTTTTCCCAATATTTAAACACAAATAAATCGACATCTTCAACTTTAAGGAAGCTAAGCTTTACCATAATCCAAGGCTACCTAGCATCTCAATTAAATTATTTCCAGATATTATTCTGCCAAATTTTTTGTATAGTCAACCATTTTTCTGTACCCCTTGAAAAATCAATTATACCTTACAAGAGTTTTTGCAACAACCTTCTTGCACCTTCTTCGTTACCACCAAATCTGATTGTTCCTGCGGGAGCTATATATAGGAATAAGTTGCCAAATCAAGATAGACGTATTAAAATAAGATCCTGTAGCTTGTTCCCAAAATGAGTCACCCTCTGTGAGGGTATTCACGGTGCGATACGAACAAAGCCGCCACTTTCCTGCTCACTTGCCGTGTGGCGAAATTTGAATAATGAAATCACCCGAGCGCGTTTGCATTGCAGGTGCTGTACAGCAAAATCGCCATCGCTCTGTGGCGCAGTTCGCGCGGGCTGACACCGCATGTGGCGCAGCATCAGCAGCAGAATCCGCAGCACGCGTCCTGCCAGGAGAGCGGGATGGGGCTGCACAACAGCATGTACCACCACCACCACCACCAGCACCACCAGATGCAGCCGCTCCAGCACCACCAGCTGACCTCGGCGGCGTCGGTGGGCCAGGGGGCGCAGGCGGGAGGGGGTGGCCAGGCGGGGGCTGGTTCCTCGCTCGCCTCCGGCGGCAGCAGCACCACCTCCTTGACCCGCAAGCAGAGCAGCAAGTACGAGAAGCGCGGCGTCAGCATCACGGAGAGTCAGGTGAGCTTTTCCGAAATGGGCAGCACAAATAGCAGGTTAATTGGAGAGGAAAGGGGAAAGGGAAGGGGAACTCTTCCCGTTAAAAGCAGGGACTGTAACGGTTATAATTAAAAAAGCAAAAAATTACAAAATAAAAGTTATTTCTTAATTTTTACGAAAAAATTGATTTTTAATACTTAAAATTAATTTTAATAATAAAAAATTAGTAATAATTATTAAGTATCAATTTTTATATAAAAATTACGCAATAACTTTTATTTTCAATTTTTATTTTATAAATTGAAAAATAAAAATTATTCAATAACTTTTATTTTAAAAATTGAAAATAAAGATTGAATCTATATATATATCTAATATATCTTTTGATCCATAGAAGCCAGATCCAATGTGTATGTATATATATGATCTACACATCAATACCTTTCAGATGGTATATAATAAGTATGTATATATATATAGATTCAATCTTTATTTCCAATTTGTAAAATAAAAGTTATCGAATAATTTTTATTTTTCAATTTATATAATAAAAGTTGAAAATAAAAGTTATTGCGTAATTTTTATATAAAAATTGATACTTAATAATTATTACTAATTTTTTATTATTAAAATTAATTTTAAGTATTAAAAATCAATTTTTTTCGTAAAAATTGAAAAAAAAATTTATCTTGTTTTTGAATTCGCCATGAAAATTTAACTTATGACAATTTTTTCCAATTTTTTTGGAGACTGTTTTGGGCTTCAATTTTTTAAACTCATAATAATTATTTGCGGTCCCTGGTTAAAAGCCCAACAATGGTAATATGTGGGCAGCAAATAGGCGGAAAGTGGGGTCGAGCCCTGCTCCCTAATTGGCCAGAACGGCTTTAACTCCGATTGGGGCAGTACGTGCTGCTGCGGCAAAATCACTTGGAACCTGCCATAATGGCTCTTGAAAATTTCATCCATACCCGACCCCTGCTAATTTATTAGATACAGCGCTCTGACAAAGCTCCCAGTCGTAAAAACTTTTCCCGGACACCTTATTCCCGCAATTCCACGAGGCCAAGGGCAGGCTCCTCGTAGCAGGTGCCAATTCGCATGGAGGCCACTGCCGGCCTGGCCACAAACTCAGCCAGTTATATGACAGCTGGTGGAGTGAAGAAATAAACCAGCCAGCGGAATTGCCCGGAGACGCAGAAGTTATGACAGGAGTGTTTTCCATTATTGAAACCAGACAACGGGAACCATTGGTCAAGAGCATTTGGCTCGCTTTGTCAGACTTTGTATTTTCAAACTTGACAGGAGCTCTGGCTGTCACACCTCCGCAGCAGCCTTTGTAATAAACGGTGTTCAATAGATACTGAGAAAAGATTTCTTAGACTTCACATGCATCTCAACCATTATTAAAATACCATAACTACAAGCTTGATGATATTGTAAGTTTATCTAACAGTGTTATGTTTTAGATGCAGCTTATAATTTAAGGGGTAACCACATTTTAGCTCGAATAACACCTCGATCAAGCACCTACAAAACCACATATTTTATCGATACTTTATCCTGAAACTTGTGCCTATCAATTTAACTATCTTTCCGTTGAACTTTCCTCTCTCTTCGTTTCGTTTGATCAATAACTCTGTTTGGCCCCCTCTCAACCAACCCACAAATTTAACAACCACACACAACACCACCACAAATTAGCTTGATAATTGCAAGGTAGGTCATAACCGAGTAGCAATCGATAAGATAACGCCCTGCGCGGCTGCTGGGCCACAATCCTAATGCCATTACACCGTTAATCCGCACAGGTGTCCCTGGAGGCCGATCGTCCCATTGTGAGCGCCTGCCGCAAGACGAGCTTCTACCACCACTCCCACTCGCACCACCAGCGCTCGGGCACCGCCTCGGGGGGCGGAGGAGGCGGTGTCGGAGGGGCGGGGCCGGAGCCAGCCACATGTCCCACTCGTCCAGCAACGTCCTTCGCGCCCGGCGCGGCGTCGTTCGCATGCTGATAATATTCGTGCTGACATTCGCCCTCTGCAACCTGCCGTATCACGCCCGCAAAATGTGGCAGTACTGGTGAGTAGCCATCCACCCCAACACCCAAACCCCACACACATCTACCCCCTCCCAGACGCCTCCATCCACCCACCCAACTCGTCTGTACGGCGCAAACAATATTTTACGGCGCACTGCAGCGGGAATCGACGGCATTTGCATATTCGCCGCAGGTCGGGAAATTAACATCTGCGAATGGGCAGATAAGCCCGAGATGGCTTCCTGCTGGATCGGGGCTGGTAAACAATTAAGTCATCAATCGGGGTCCCCGATTCCAGCAGCTTTTGGCCGGCTTTGCCAGTGGCCAAATCGATTCGAAAGCACTCTCGCTTTTCAATCCAATTTGGCTCTAAAGACGGAGGACTCGCCTTCTTCTCCCCTTTCAAAGCGGAGCTAAGACCTTTGCCAGCAGTTCCGCTTCCGGAGCAAAATTTAGAGTGGGTGGCCGCCTTTCTGGAGTTGAATGGAGGCGACCGGCTTTTCCGTTCGGGTAACTCGTGGGCGGTCCATTAAAAATGACTGGGCGGTAGGGAAGTTGTTTGCGGACGAGCGACGCGCTAAATCGAGGAGGAGTTAATTGGTCCTTCCGTAAAGCTAAAAACGGTCACTTAAGCGAGCTTCTCACTGCTCCCTCAACGCCAACGAAAATGTTTTGCTTGAAATGAATTTAGCCCGCTGTTTGCAAGCAAGCCATAGTTCATATACTGCGCTTTAAGTACCAACCACATTTTCCCTGGTTCTGGCATTCGGCACTTTCAGGGATCCTTAAATTGTAAGATATTAGTATTACATCTTTTGCAAAAAGAAATTATTATTAATATTACAGTAGAATCCTGTTATAACGACTCCGCTTATAGTGTCCGTCCGGGTATTGCGACGAAAACTCGATGGCTTGATTGGTCCCCAGACAGACTTATACTTACACTTAAATCCTTCTGCTTAGTGCGTCTTCCGGGTATAACGACGAAAAATCGTCGGTCCCTTGAAAGTCGCTATAAGCGGATTCTACTGTATTTATGTCTTTTGCACAAAGAAATCATTATTAATATTATTTATGTATGTCAGTTATTAATATGATTAAATTTGTATTTCTTGACAAGACAGACAGATTCTGTAAAAATTAAAGTTATGATAGGTTGACTTTAGAATATTATTTAGAATATATTTTTACTACTTCCCCAAGTGAATGATCACAATAATTTATGTTTTTTCGCTTAAGACAAATTCAAAGAAACAAACGCACACAGAGTTTCGCGCATAAGTGCAGAAAACAAATTAGAAACAATTAAAAGCTCCAAGCCGCTGAAACTTTTATTGTTCGTAGTCTTTTTAACTTTGTGTAGTTGTGTGCCCGCACTATTTCATTCCGGGAACAGCTACAAAGACCTCAACTAAGTTGAGAATAATGTTCGGATGCAACTTCACGCACCTCGACGCAGAACACGGCACACTAATTATTTAAGAGGAGCTTTATTCGACGCTGCTCAAGTTTCGGATGCATACGTTCGTTCTTCGGGAAGACGTTAAAAATACCAGTCTAAAAGTTCAGCTATAAGCACTTATTGTCAAAATAGAGTATATCTCAGGTTAAATACGTTTCGGTACGAATCAATATGATTTTTCGCTTAAAAAACATTGTTTATACAAAAATGTTAATTTCTGTAAAACCGCCTTATGATCAAAAGCTACTTCGCTGACGCAGAATTCGACATGGTAATAATATTCGTTATCCGTAGATCAGCATCGTCATCTGAGAATATCTAGTATAGTACATTTAGTAAATTTAATCTTTTGTTTTTCGTAAAAGTGAAAAAAATAAGATTTTGAAAATTGTTGCTGTGCTGCCAAGAAGTGCCTAGTTTGTACATTTTTTAAGGTTATTCAAAAGGAAAGCAGCCTGTGACAACCGTTGCAGAAGTTACATCTTGCAATAAAAACATTCCCTGACAGCCGATTCTTCAAATAAATAAACACTGAAAACCCAGACAAGTAAACAACTCTCGACGCCCAGTCAAGCTAGACATAAATCTCAATTATGGCACCGCCGGGGAACTGGGACTGCGGCTAAAGTGCATTCGCTTGGTATCTGGATAGAATTATACATACGAGTATGTGTACATTTATTTTCCCGCAATGCATTTTACATTTGTGCAAATTGACTGCGGGCAGAATGCTATGGTTCCGTGGCATGGGAATAAAATTCGAATAAATTTCCGTGGCGTTTGCCAAAAGTGCAAAGTAGCAAATCGGCGGCCAGGTTTTTAATAACACATTGTTACAAAATTCAACCTCAATATTCGGTGGCGTGGGCAAGTGGTCAAAATATATACTTCGATGCAAAGATATAGAAACCTGAAATCTTGCAAAAGACGACTATGAGATAGTGTATGGCTATAATTGCCAATCGCTATTTTTTAGAGACTACAATACGATACAAAATCAGACCAAGTTCTTGCAAATTTTCTTAAAATACCCAAAAACATAACTAACCGAGTCGGGAGACTTCAAAAAATCCGCATAACTGTTTTATAAATTCGAGGCTTTAAAACGAGGCTTACTATATAATAGCTGGTGCGTGTTGGTCATACATATTTTTTTGCAGACAGTAAAAAAGAAAAATATGTTTTTAATCATGATTATAAGATATAGAATATTGGTATTGTAAGCTTAGTCTCATGTTATTCGTACGCAGCGCAAGTTAATTAAAATTGTTGCTCTTTTATAATTCCGAAAGTATGCTTAAGTCGAAATTCGAATACACGCAACAATCGTCGCCAAAGGAAGAAAACAGTGCACTAGCGCCAAGCGTATGGGCCCGACTTCCAAGGACTTGGCCGGAATGGCGCATTTTGGCTTGTTAACGTAATCCCATAATTTCACATAGCAGTATAAATTCTTTATAGGCATCAATAAGTGAAGCGATGGTATCTTCGATTTTCATGGGTTTCCTTGGGCGCTGAGCAGAAATCGCTTATTACCTGACACCCTAACCAAGACAAATGGTTGGACTGGCGAAAAACCAAGCACCAGCGATAAATCAATCAGCTGGCTAATGCAGTCTGTTAAGGGAGTAAGTCTAACCCCATAGCAAAATGTTGGGTTGGGTTGGCACACGAATTCCCGGAAAGTCCATCACCAAGATGGCGGATAAAGCTGATTCCATAATCACATAATTATATGGCTGTTATTGCTACGCAAAGTCAACACGTCCGAGCAATTGCCATGCGCGCACATTTCCCGGCAACTGTTGTGCGTAAACTCAACAAGGTTCGGAGTCGTGGAGTGCCACGTTTTCATTATTAGCCAGAACCTCTTTGTCCGGTGATAACGATAACGATGTCAACTGCCAGCAGTTGGCAACTACGGCTCGTTAGAGAATACAGGGCCGGCAAATGGCCTCCCAGAGCTGGCTCTTAATTTAATGCCCCGATTTGGATTTGGATTGGCATTTAAATTTCGCGCAGCTCTGGCAATCCGTTGGCAAACGGCCACTCCAGGACTCAAGCAGGGAGGAAAACAAAGCGAAGGCCATTGGAGGGGCCCAATCAGTTGGCCAACTCTTCTAGTGAACTGGCCCACTTGCAAGTGCAAGCCGAATTTCCAGAGAGCAACAACTGTGCGACAATTTGACAGTTAGTACAAAGTTCGCCTGCCTTGGGCCAAAAAGGAGAAAAAAACGCAGAGCACCTCACTTTCTGCTTTAAATATTGTTCTGCACGGAAAGTTTCGGGCAAAGTTTATGTTGCATACTCGGAGGCGGCGAAAACTTTGCTCTTGTCCGAATTCCCCGCTCCATTAGCGAGTTTTTGAGTGCTAGAAAAACAATACCGCCAATAGCAACTTAATCACCTGGGCACAACAAAGTGGTCAAAAGTCAGACAGGCGTGCTCGGGCTCTCACTTTCGTAAGTTTTTCGGGGACAAAGGTTTTCTGGTTACGCCAAAAGACCATTCTGAAGTCACCATATATATTGCTGATAAGTTCAAGCTATTCCTGAAAATTGTTTGAGCTTATCACCTAGTGTTGAATTTTAGTTAGTGGACAAGCAAAATTCCTAATTCACAGTATATTTAATTGATCTGAATGGTCTGACAAAATTATATGTGTATAAATTATAATTTAGTTATAATATTAGTTGTATATACATTTCATTGCGAAAATAATAGGTGTTTAAATAAGACAAACAAGAATGTTAGTACTTAAAAGGTTTATTTTAAGTGGTTTTCGCGGAGAATAGAATATAAGCTCGGAGTATGCAAAAGCGATTTCGCTTGAGTGCACTTCGGAGCGGGGGATTGATTAAGAATTACAGAACACTTTAGACCTGCCAAGTTTTACTTTCGAGAACCCAAGTCCACATACCTTGCGGCGGGGCGGAGCGGAGAGCCCAGCTCGTTGTTTGGCCAACAGCTGCTCATTTGCATACACGCAGAACACACATTTTGGCCCACATAATATACAGCTATAAATGCAGATAGTTATTCCGTGTATATGCATTTGCAGGTCACGTTCGTATCGCGGTGATTCCAATTTTAATGCGCTACTAACGCCGCTCACCTTTCTGGTCACGTATTTCAATTCGGGCGTGAATCCCCTCCTCTACGCCTTCCTCAGCCGCAATTTCCGCAAGGGCATGAAGGAGCTGCTGCTCTGCTCCTGGAAGAAGGGCAAGGGCAAGTCCTCCTCCAACTCCTCGATGCACCACAAGCGCAAGGCGCTGCAGGTGAGTGTGCTGCACGGCTCGACCAGATGGCACCCCTCCCCCTTCACCTCCAACTTCTCCTTCCCGCAGACCCACTCGCTGCCCACGGACACCACGCACATTGGCAACGAGCAGCTATGATGGCCAACTGGCTGGCGGAGGCCCCTCAAGCTCTTCGGGCGGCGCTCCTAGGACCCAGCCCCCCCGGGGAGGCACCCCCTCCTGGTCCCTCCTGGTGCCTCCTAGTCGCTGCTAGCATTGTCTCATTGTGATTTCGGAGGACCTGCCGCCGGATCGAGCGAGCGGATCTGCCTCCTGGCCGGTGCACCGGTGCCGAGTTGTATTGATAGACTAAGCCTACCTTAAGCGAATACCAAGCTATGTCAAGTTCTTAGCCTAAGAGTTAGTTTTAAGTGTAACTCAGTATGAGCGAATAAAGCAAAAGCAGATATCATTAGCGAATATTTGGTACCGCAATCCTCCTGCCGGTTGGTAATTTATTACTCCGCTACTCGACTCCTACGATTTTAAAGGCGAAAATCGATAGATTTCCGCAAATTGCATGTTGGAAGCCGCCGAATGCGTTCGCAATTTATACACCACCTCTTTATAGAACTGACTTGCGATATCTGATGACAAGGGTTTTATGGTCAGCCGGAGAACACGCTTCGCTGCGGCTGCCAAAAACAAAAAATATGACACACAGAGGAGCGGTCTGCCGGCTGCCGGCTGCATTAAACTGGTCGAATTTTGTGCTAAGCGCAGCATTTTGTGCCCCGCTGGAAATGTCGGACTCGCAAGTCAGCTGGGGAAGCACTGCAGTAAATTCACGAGGGAAAACTCAATTACCAGGACGGACTGACGTTGGCGTAAATTAAAAAACAAAATCCCGCAATATCTCTGGGAACTCTTTGTTTGTTTTCGCCATTTGTTGTCCTTCCCAGCGCCTCTTGTTCATCCTGTGACCCCCTTTTTAAAAGTCTTTGTAATGCAAAGGGCGTGCCATGGACTGTGGCGAAAAACGTCTGTCAAAGCACTTCAGTTCGGATGAGACTCGCTTCAAGTGAGGCTTTTGAGTTCGTGAGATATTTCATAATTAAGCGCGAATCGTATTTGGATGCAAAAAGATGGCTTCACATTTTTCTCAGTCGTCTCGGAGCTTTGAAAATGACTGCGAAGGTAAGAATCGAAACGTACCGCCGTAGCTTTCCTGAAATGTTGGTGCTATATGACAGAAGAGTCCGGATCGGATATAGCTGCCATACGAAATAACTATTTCAACGTTTTGCAATAAATAGTTTGTTTCGTGCAACTAGAAAGCCGGGCAAACTTTGGAGAGTTATTAAAACATTTGTTATTAAATTCTGCATCACCTATGAAAAGTCCCGGCGTGGTACCAAGTTGCGCTGCGTACGTGTAACTCGAATCTATATTTTTTATCTTAGATTTCTAGTTCTTGTAGTTTCTTAGATTTCCGTGCTTATACGGACGGACAAACAGACAAACATTTGAAGGAAATCATTCTTTTTACCTGTTACAAAATACAGATAACCATTTGCTGTCATTGCGATAGGTTTTAGATATATCTGACGGGTCGCCGATGCTAACTTGCTATCCTCTTTAAAATAAAATCAATAAAATCCAATAAAGAAAATTAGTACCTATTTAATATTTTTTTGACTAGCAATAAACGCAAAGTTACAAGCTTGCAACGCAGTAAAGCCTCGTATGATAATATGTACTATTCTTTATCATCGTTTGTTATTTATAAGTCTCTCAGATTTGAAGCAGAAGAATATTTACTATTGCAGGCAGTAACAACGGCTGGGACTGGACGGCTATACTTTATGGTAGGGGAGGGTGGCCCGATACCGACCCCCTAAATGGCGAAGGCGATAAAGGTGAGAAAAATCAATTTTTCAGTTCAGTTCAAAAATTTACTATGTAGAGGGATCAGTTTACTATACATCTAAGTGATTAGTAAGTGCGTAGGTGCTTTGAAGCGTTAGATATTCAGGCAAATATAAAACTCCACTTTTTGGTCGTACTCAAAAGTAGTGGTCCGAAACCGACCCCCTATTTCTTAACAGAAAAATTTAATAACATAAAATAGAATTTAATGATTTTGACGTTTATTAAGAAATATATTGAAGGTTCTTTCCAGAAAATAAAAATTAATGTATGAAATAAAGGGCACTGTAGTCAATTGATGAAGTCTGAGTTGTCCTCTTTCTCATAGTAAGTTTTCGCGTTGTTTTCGCGTTGTTTTCGCGTTGTTTTTCGAAAGCCGCTCGTTGATGACTGTCTCTTCGCTTTCTTCTGATGTTTTTGCTGTTTCTGTTACTTTTCGTTACTGAATCTTTTTTACTTTTTCATATTTTCCCTCAAAAATACGCTATGACATATTAAGCTGCCAATAAATGGGGGTCGGTTTCGGACCATCACTTCGCGGTCGGTTTCGGACCACCACAACCTTTTCTAATTAACTGCTCGCCATTATCTAATGACGCAAAGAGCGATGTAATTCTAATAGCGTGAATGGCAGCTAGTACTATCAACTATCAGAAAACCTTACCATCCGATTTTTATGCGGAGAAAAAAAACTTTAAGCTCAAGTTCAGTAAAGCTCAAAAATGAATGTCACAGGCGTTGAAACAAAACAAACGGAAAAATTGCAGTGAAACAAAAGAAGTCAAATTGGCTATCTATCTCCAAAATGTCTGTGTTATAACAGCTTTTCACTGAAGTTACCGACAATTCGGCTAGCATCGCCATCTCTGAGAAACATGGGGGGGTCGGTATGGTACGACCGGTCGGTATCGGGCCACCCTCCCCTACATATAATGAGGTTGTGTATTAAATAGAAACGAAGATCTGTCTGGATTTGTGATAAATAAAGAAGGTGTCTAAAAGTATGCTTGAAAAATATATTTTTTTATATTGTTCTTCGGAACTTTTGTATATCAGTTTTAGCGGTTGAGTCAATATCAACAAGTCAGTCTGTTGTTTTGAAGTTTTTATCGACTCTATGCAAATCAAACTTTTCGTTTTTATGATACTTTGCTGAAACTTTATCAACAGTTTGTTGCAATGGTAGGTAGTACATATTCTTACATTATAAAAACCCCAGATTATCGGTAACCATTACTCTGATAAGCAATTGCAGTCCGCATGACACACAACTGTGGAAAACCGCCTCGTTTTCATCACCAAATGATTCCGATTATAAAACCTGTAGGTTGCGTACTTGCAGTGACGTGCAGAAATAAATGATGTTTGTAACTATTGAATGTAAACCCGCCTAAAAGGGTAATAAGAAAAGACTGTGTGTCCAATTTTGTTTTATTGTTAATTCTTTGAATAAAAAAATATAGTATGAAATAAAGAAAGATTTTAGATGAAGACATAATAAAAAATAAATAGGTCCAATTTTGACTCACTGCCTATTCCCACTACCTTTTTCAATAGTTGCAATCATATACAATCATATATATCATTTCTGCACGTAGTTTCTGGTGTTTGCCACAATGGTTGCCGAGTTGCCAGTGCATACTTTGCTCATCTCGGACATCGATTTTACTAAAGTACAAAGCTCACCTATTTTTTGGTAAACATTTCTTTGTCAACCAGGTTTCAGAGGTTTTGGAGGCAGATGTCAATTATCCCCGAAGCTAAACAATCCTTTTACAATTTGGCTAAATTAAGAGGCTCGTAAGTTCAAACAGACAGACACATAATTCCTTCCAACCACCTCAAAAGCAGCGGCAAACTGTTCAACGAGCTCGGAGCATAATTGATTGGAGTACGGCCCCCACCCGAAGCAGATGTTCAGTAAATTATGCAATGGCTTTTTAATTAAAATGCCAGGAAGCTTAACTCATTGACACTAAACTTGCTATTTGAATATGTCGGCATGGAGCAGCGGGGGGTTGGGTTGGGGGATAGGGGTTGATAATTCATAATTTCTCTGGGCCAGTGGAAATTAATTTGCTGTGTGTTAGAGCCATTGACACAAGCTCGGCGCGCAGAATGGATTACGAGTCGTTGGAGTGAAAAATTGCGCCAGTCACCAAAGTCAATTGCAACAAAGCCCAGGACGAAGAGGACGTCAAGAACGAGGAACGACGATCCGGGGAACATGTGCTTGGGTGCGGCGGTGGGAAGGTTGTCCACTAATCCGATTAGTTGTGCAAAAATAGCAGTTGACCGGGGGACAGAAAAAAGCGTGTCCAAATTTACCTAACGGCTTATGGCAATTAGTCGAAAGAGTTACAGGATGCAACTTTGATTCGGCTTTGTGCGAGTTTCGTTGCGTGGGTGATTAGACAAGAGGCTGTGGTCGGAGCTAAGCTATTTTTATTCAGCTCCCTCCTAGTTCGGGTTTCAATCTTGCGCAAACAGAAACTTTGCGCATATCCCAGCCATTTAGAAAAGTTTGCACTCAGCCGCGACCGGAGCCCATGCGAAAAGTTAAGTGCCAAGTTTCCCCAACAAGTGGCATTGAATTTGACAGGACAACTTGGGATTGGACAACTGCCGACAGCAGAGTCACTGTAAGGCCGGCCTGGCCCTCTGTGTGTGCTCTCGAAATTAATTTGAATGAAATATATTGAGTGTAATGCGAAAGACAAACGAAACTTGCAGAAGCTTCCTGTCTTGCTCTCGGGCAAGAGTGATTGCATCTTGGCCCAGACCGGAGTGAATTCCGTTCACCTGATGGATCTGCCTGCAGCCAGTTCTGATTGCCTAGTACAAGGTTTTTTCTTTCGAATATTTTCGCATTTTTTAGTTCCGAAGGTCTCCGTTTTGGAGTTGGGGAATTGGGGTTGGGAGTTGGGAGGTCAAGTGGCCTGCCAAGTCTGTATCTGCACTGGAATATTAGCAGGCTCTCAGGAAAACGACAAGAAATCAGAGCTGTGGCCACTTTTGTACATTTGCATCTATATGCATGGCCCAGCCACTCTGCATCTGAGAATCTGAGTGCCCAACCCCTGAAAGACAGCCGTTATCTGGGATGCAACAGCCCCCAAAGTTGTGCCGAAATTTAAGTGCAGCACTGCAGCCAGGCCAAAACAATTTAGCGCTCAACATTTTAAATTCGACTTATAAAGTGCTTAAGTTATTACGCTGGCCAGCGGAGCAGAGCAGTTTAGCATTTCCGCTTCCGTTTGCACAGCTTGGGCACTAGGCAGCCGAACTCGACTCAGCTTGCATTTTTCATGAGCTTCGCAATTCAATTTAGATGCGGGGCTCAGATTTAAAGTTCTGCCTAATGAGCAGACGAGAACAAAACAAACTCTCGACCCTCAAATCTGGTTAGCGAGACCCTTTTCGGCGCTCCTGCCGATCTTTTCGCCCCGGCGCACAGCTATTATTTTAGGTCGCTGCGGAGTGGAATGGAATGGATTGGATTGGATTGGGAAATTTGTTGATTTTTAATTTGACCCGAGAGCGACCCACTCTAAATAAATTAGCAAAAGGGACGGCGGAGCCAAAGGGCAAGGGCCACCCGATAAGTGGGAGTTCCGGAAAGTCTGTCCCTGCGAAAATCCATTGATCATTATGTAAAGTAAGCTCATTTAAAAGAGAAAAGCTTACGGCTCCAAATTACGCATACGCCGCATAAATCATTCTCCGTAAGCCGGCACCCGGAACGGAACCGGGTGGAGCCACAGGAGCCACAGGACGAAAGCCCTGACCATGCGTTCGCCGAAACACAAATTGCGTGGCGGGCCGCATTAATTGCGGCCTATTTATCTGGCCGTTTGCCGCCGCCTTCACGTGTTTAACCTGATTTAAATACAATTAAAATGCAGGGGCGGGCGGTGCATCCCCGCTCGAATTAACCCAGGTGGGAGCCATCCGCATCCTTAAAGAGCTCCCTCGGATTTAAAGAAACGGATTCGGTTGCATAGTTAGTGCTTATTATTACAATATCTTTTGGTTTATACAAGAACATATGTAAGCCACACGCCTTCCAGACTCTTACTCTTATCGAAGCTTTAGTTGCGGAACTAAAGCACTAAGCTAAAGACTCCTTTCATTTGGGATTGTTAGCAGATGGTTTCTTTGCGTTAAGAACTCTTTCTTCACTGTCGTACGTACTACTCGACTTATTCTACGGTACATCCTGCGAGGATGAAACCTCTATTTACACTGCGCACCCTGAGTGCCTAAACTACAAATGCATCTTTGGTCCAAACGCCTCGTTCCTCCGCCTGACTCCGGACTCCATCCGAGCTCCACTACAGGTAGACGAAGTGGCCCAGCCCCTTGGCCGGGTTGTTGTTGACGGCCTCCGCCGAGAGCTTGCCGTTGCCGCTGCTGTTCCCGTTGGAGGTGCTCAGCTCCTGGGCCTCCGCCTCCGCCACCGGCACCAGCCGGCGGTAGACTCCGGCGGAGGCGAAGCGCGCGTTCATGTGGATGTCCAGCAGCTTCTTGTCCTTGCCCAGAGCGGAGAAGGAGTGCGAGGCGGTGCGGATCTCGCGGATGTTGTACACGGGGTTGTAGGCTCGAACGGGCGGCGACACGGCGACCGTTGGCGGGGGCGTGGGATTCGAGGGCGGGGCAGAGGGCAGGTAGAAGTCCCGGCGCAGGGCGCACTCCGTTGAGTTGTCCGAGGAGCCGGAGCTGCTGGCGCACTCGTCCGCGTCCTCGTCCTCGGGGTCCTCGCTGCTGCTCCTGCTGCCCCTGCTGCTGCAGCTGCGCAGGTCCTCGGAGAGGGAGAGGTCCGACTCCAGGGAGAGCTCCAGCAGGCTGGCGGCGTCCTCTGCGGCCTCGTTCGCCTGGCCAATGGCCTCGTTCAGGCTGGCCAGCAGCTGGCGGCGGCGGGCGTAGTTGGGAGTGCGCCGTACGAGGAAGTGGCAGCCCTCGCCGCGCTTCATGCGCTCCATCTGGGCGCGGAGGGGCAGGTCGTCGGCGTGCAGCTTGCGCTGGCACTCCTGGCCGGGGCAGACCTCGTAGAGCGAGAAGCTCTCGACGGGCTCCGGCGAGCCGTAGCAGCCCAGCAGCAGGTGGAGCAGCTCGTCGCTGGTGGTCTCCTCGCTGATGACCAGCGACTTGTACTGGGAGCTCGGCTGCAGCGCGGAGGTGTGCACGCGGATCAGGCCGCCGGGCTTCAGCTGCAGGCAGAAGCGGGACTCGCCCTTCGGGTGGCAGGCCTGCATGATGGCCGGCCGGGTGTCGTCGTCCAGGACCAGGATGGTCTTCACCCCCGCCCTCCGCACGGCCACCTCCATGGAGAGGTAGAAGAGGCGCGGGTCGCGGTGCCGCATCTTCAGGCTGTCCGGGAATGGAGTAGAGTTAGAGCGGGCCAAGCAATGCGGATCAGCAAACAACTTACCGCCTCAGCAGCTGGGCAATCACCTCCTTGCTGGTGGTGTCCCACTGGATCCCGAGGGTCTTGTACTCGATGTCGATCTTCAGGCAGTTGGTGTACACCTTGATGGTGGTCTGTGGACGGGCGGAGGCGGATTAGTTGAGGCCCACTCGGAGTGCTTACCCCAAAACTCACCTGAGGCAGCTGCTCGTTGAGGCTGGAGTAGCTGGAGGCGCGGGACGGAGTCCTCTGCAGCTCCGCCGGGGGCTCCGGACTGCCGCACATGGAGCTGGCACACGAGGAGGCGTGGCCGGAGGAGCGGAGGGACACCGAGTCGGAGCGGTTGCGCAGGGGGGAGATTTGGACGTGCTTCAGCATCTGAAAGGGAGGAACAGAAATGCGGGTTAGTCATATAGTACGCTTCACGGAGACCCCGAAGTTTGTCTTATTTATTATGGATGCTTCCTGGAACACTCGACGAGCACTTGCTACTTTAAATGAAGTTGCCACATCCGGCTTGGCTTGGTTTAAAGTGAGTGCACGGAGAGAAAAACATATCTGACTACTGAGCAGTTCTGAACTAAGTTGTACTTATTTAGAAGAAATAAGTTTATTGGGTCTAACTGAATTAGTGAACACTTAAAGGTGTTTAATTTGCAGTAGAAATGAAGCAAGGATAGCCATTTAAGCAGGCCTGGAAAAGTACAAATTTAAATAGATAATGAATGAATAATTTATGACGCGCTCTGTGTACGAAAACATAAAGGCTTCGAGGAAAAACTGTTGCTCATGCCCCTCCGTATCGTCTAAGGGTACGTATTTCCCCGATGAATGCAGCCACTTCCAGGCACTGCCACTGCCCATTGAAGCATGTAAATGAGGGGGAGCCATCGAGGAGCAGGGTCCTCAGCCGAAGTGTCTCTCGAAGCGAACGGCGGTGAGCAGGGATGATGTATTGAAATTAATAAAGGGTTCGCAGTGTCGCAGTCTCACATCGCTGCCTCACTACCTCGCTGCTTCGTCCATGGCGGTGACAATGAGCCATGAATGGACGAAATGGGGCGTGCGTCGGGGAAATCGGAGCCTGACGTTTGATTGAAAGCCGTACCTAGGCCTCCGACCCCGAGCTCCCCATCCATTGCCCCTGCTCCGAGACCCCCGACCAACCGTTCAGCGGGATTCACTCGAGGCGTGCCGCATTGTGGGGTGATTGCAGGCGGAAGTTGGTGGGATCGCCGCAGCTCAACATCCGGTTATGCAATCCCCCCTCCCCCGCCCCACTTCCCATCACATCTCTTCGAGTGTGTGTGTGCTTCTGCCCCGTGTGGGCGTCTCGTTTTCGTGCTCGCCATATGGCAAACACGTTCTCCGCTCAATCACTGCGAACAGCATTTAATTAGAATGTAAAAAGTTTGGAAAAGCGCTGGTTATGATTGCGGGAACTGCGATCCAACTGGCAGTCCCTGGAGCAAGTGAGCCGCGGCGAACCAGCATAAAATTTCAACGAGCGCTGGGGCAACGCAAACCAACGCCAATTGCGACTCCGAGAGGCGACTGCGAAGAGGAAACCGGGGGAACGGGGGAACGGGGGAACAGGGAACGGGGGAACAGGGGGGCGGGTGGCCCGCTTGAGTGCTGACGTCTGGTGTTCCCGCAATTAGCGGCTAATGTTGCAGAGTTTCACGCCATGATGGCACTCGGGTCACTGCCAAATTGAACTCTCCAGCTCGACGACTTCATCTTAATCGCGGGTACTGCGAAAATTGCGTGGAAATTAAATTTTCTAGAAATAATTCCAACCGTTCAGAAGGTGGCTTTTTATTTTATTCACAAATTATTCCATTCGAGTACCCCTCTCCTGATGTTGAATTTATACTGTTTTTCACACCATCAAGTGATTATCAAAATACATAACCCAATCCCTTGGAACAAAGAGCCTGCAACTTAATCTTTTGTGCGGATTGAGGGCCACTAAAGCACTTTGGACCCTCCAACTGCAAATGAATTCCCAACTCGGATGAAACAACACCAAAATGAAAGCAAATCGAATAAAAATGTAGAAATTGAAGATAAGAAGAAGTGACAGAAGGAAATCAAGAAAGTATATTTATTGCGAAATTGAATTAGAAATTCGCATAACATTTTGGGTCCTCTGGGGAGGACAGCAAGTTGAAAGGACAAGAATAACTAAGCAGCCTCCCTGGCCAACCGAATAATGTTAATATACCTGAGGTGTCAAAGGTGGGATAAGAAGCCAGGTAAGTGGATATTAGTGGGCGATTTATAGCCGTCATCGAGCGACAACTAGCTTTGACCCCTCATTGAGTTGATTAGCCTAGTTGTGGGTGCCAAACTTTTCCAATTATGCCATTGATACCAGCCGGCGAAGGTCGCAGCCCCCACTGGCACACCCACACTGACTTGCACTCAACCTCAAGCCCTTAAAGTGCTGGAAAAGTCGCATAAATTCCCCAAGGCAATACAACGTGGCAAGGGGCCCGGAGCGAGACGAGCGGTAAGTAACTGCCAGACAGACATTGCAGAACTTACAACTGCTGGCAAGAAACAAAAGAGGCAATAAGGAGCAGCTGCGACGGCGGGAGTCGGAAGCAAAAAGCTGGAGAAGATGCTCGAACTTGCGAGGAATGTTTTAATTTCAACTTCTGGGCGAGGAAATCGTAAACGTTTCCTTCTGGCGAGATGACAGCATCGCTCACGCAGGGAAGTTCCCCTAGTTTCCGCACTGGAGACTCATCTTGAATTTTCAGATACCACTCCCCAGAATCGAAATGATGCCAAAAGGCGCTGAGAGCATCAAAGTAGAATAAAAACGTAGCGGACACGGATCAGGTATCAGGTATCGGGCTCCGAACTGTGTTGTTTCACATCCACATCACCAACATCACTAATATCACCAACTGCCACCTCAAGCATGACACGTACCGCTCAGGCCTTTCGTTTCAGCTTCAAGAGTCATAAAGCTGCACCGTGACATTCAACTGGGAATAAATGTCCTTGAACTTGTTGCTGAGGAGCACAAACTTTGCAGTTACTGATACGTATTCGAAACTTTATCAGAAGAGGGGCTGTGTCCTTTATCATTTTCACACATTCGAGAGGCAAACGACCAAAGGATTATTGATTGAACTGCCCCAGCAGCGACAGGAGCCAGAAAATACTTTCATGGCCAGCAGACTAGAAAAAGGGCCGAGCAAAGGGTCTGAAAAAATGCCTGCTGCCGAGAACATTGTGCTGAAGAACAAGGAAAGATACTTTAAGTGCGAAAAAGGCACGCTTTGCGTTTGTGCTCGGTTCTTTCAGCCTTTCAGCCGGATTCCTTGAATAACTCTGCTGACGTGTCTGATAAGATTTGACTGCCATGTTACGTTTTCTTTATTAATCAACGACAGAAGCCGAGAGGTCGGACGACAAGGAGTCTCAAAGCATTCGCCAAATGTGGCCATCGACTTCGAGGCAATCGTTGCCATTGTCAGACTGGCGAGGCGAAGTGCGTGGAGAAGATGAAAAATTACAGACAAAATACTTACGAGAGGGAGAAGGGCAACAGCGAACATAATTTGTAAGCCAGAAAGTGTGCCCCTTAAAGTCAGTGTAACTTGCAAATAGATTTCAATGGTTAATTACGTGCATGAGAAACCCTTTCGACAGTCATGGCAACTCATTAAAGCTAGCAGCTTTATTGAATGTACAAACTGAAGCGCTTTGTGTGCGTATCCAGTTAATAAAATTCACAGTGAATCTGAAATTGTTTGACTGTGACTGAAAATTGCCATAAGTCAATATTTTAACAGCCTTGCTCCCATGGATCCCAATCATATGCCGCGTTTACATATGCTCATGTGTGCTCACCTGCATATTTAATGCAGCTGCCATATGACAGGAAATTCGTTTGGAAAGGTCCGCCGCTTTCGATAATAAATCGCGTTTGCATTTTCCTCTATTTAATTGATCAAATTGACTTCCAAAAGTCAATTAATTTAACTGTTTTAATGGAGAACGGTCCGCTGAGAGCGACCCTTTGATTGGACCCCCGTTTGGATACATTGTTCTAGCTTATTTTGCCCCGATATCCATCGGAGCGTGGCCAGAGATTTCAGGCCGGTTGCTTCTTTCGCTGCTTTTAGCCGCTCTTTTTCACCATTTACTCTGCGTATTCTTAGTTGAGTGATTTTAGGTGTTTCGCTTTACGGTTAATTTATGCGCCGTCCGGATGAATTTTTTATTACTGACTTTGGCTATATTTTCATTTAAGGCGGGTGTGGGTTAATAGCTTTATGGAAAACCGCTAAGTAACAATATGAAACGCGGGTGATTATGGGTATATAGTTTTAACGGCCAGCTCGTTCTCGCCAGTAAACTGCGTCAACTAAAATAATAAGCGAAACAAACCACCCATAAACATAAAATAATTTTCGTACTTTACCAGCCGCGCGCACTTGTACAAGCAAAAAAGACAAAAATGTGTAAACTATTTTCGTAGTGCCTCCATAAAATTAAAGCCACAAAAAAGTGGGCAAAAAATTTGTTGAAAAATTCTCCGTCGCACTGACATTTAAACTGCAATGCTTAAGCGGGGTATTTATTTACCTTCGGTGGCGCTGAGCCTCCCTTAACCATTTTTTATTGCCTTCTGCCTGTTTTTGTAAGCCGATTAGTCGCCCAGTTTTTCATGCCATTAAGAAGTGTTGCATAGTGAGAGGCGCCAGGGCCTCCAGAAGTCAAACAACAACATCCAAATTAAATTTCACTTTAATCAACTTTGCCAGCAGAGGGTTAATTTCCGGAAACGATCCCTTTAAGCTGTTAATTGGCAAACTGGTGGGTTCGGTTTTGTTTTACTTACGCCTTTGTTTCCCTTCAACTATATAAAAAAGCATTTAAAACGCGTTGCACTCGGCGAGGTGCTGCTCATTAAAATGTTAACTGCGAAAGAAGAACTGGCTCGGACTTCAAGGGATTGAAATGCGGAATGGAGAGGACGGGATGAGGATGCAGAACGAAGAATGTAGAATGCAGAATGCAGAATGCAGGCTTCTAACACCAAGGCTGCCGCTCAAAATAGAGTCAAAAGGGCAAAAAGTGCGCCAGTCGAGCTTGAAGCGAAATTAAGAGTAGCGCGTACAACAAAGAGCAAGTTATCGCGACGCAGCAAATTAAACATATTTTACAACATCTCTAATGGGGAGAGTACAGGTCAAAAAATACCTCTTGACTTAACTGACTTGGCTGTTTCGCCATTCTTTATAATTGATAAGCGCAATGTTGGCCAAAATCCAGACTAGCTATTTTTTCCCTTTTGACTATGTGTTCCTTAAAACGAAAGAAAATATTTTGGCTTTTTAGAAAATTTTCCTCAT